GGAGCAGCCGCCTGCCCGGCCCGTCGCGCCCCAGCGCTGGGTGAGGGGCGCTCGGGCTCCTCTGACACGGACCGTGGGGTGTTTCCAGGGAAAGCCGAGGAGTTAGTGCCTGGTCTGTGGGAAATCGCGATGGAAAATGTGCTCAGCAGCTGTTTCTCAGCTTGAGTTTGTTAGTCTTGGCTCTTATTTTTCTTTGTGAATGTTATTGGGTGTTTTTTGAAACTGCAGCAAATTCTTATAGACAGTGTGTCGAGAAGAAGCATCAGTCACTGCTGTGTGCTGTCACCTGGGCCTGGATTTCAGCTGGGACAGAGCTGGTTTGTTTTTAGCAGCTAGAACAGCGCTGGGGTTTGGGTTCAGCTGGGATTTGGTATGAGAAGAACGTTGATAACACACCCATGTTTTAATTTTTGTCACTGGAAGTGAAGGACTTTGTGGTTTGTTTGTCTACAAGTGCCAGATCTAAGGGCAATATTGAGGAATATTGAAATGAATCAGCTCCATGGGCATTTGGCTCTGCCAAGGGGCTGTTCCATCTCCTGTCCCCATGGGCAGGAGATCCATGAGGGTCTCTTCCTCTCTTGCTCTCTCTGGCTTTGGCTCGGGCTCTGGCTCTCCCGGGATTGCGGTTTCAGTTCGGGATTGTGGCTCCTCCCGGAACGTTATCTGGGAACGGGCCGGGCTTGGTTGGTGGGTGGTGAGCAATGGCACTGGGTACCACTCATTGGCATATTTTATTATTACTATTATTGTGATTGCTATTTTAATATCAGTATTATTTTAATTTTTATTTTATTTGAATGATTAAACTGTTCTTATCTCACCCTACAAGTCTCCTTACCCTTGCCCCCGAATTCTCTCCCCTGAGGGGGCAGTGAGTGAACACCTGTGTTTGGCTCTCAGCCCAGTGCTGACCCAGTGCAACCACCACACACCTCCCTGTGCATTTACGAAATGTGTTGCTTTTTTAATTTAGATTATGTGGATAAGCCTTTGGAAAAACCTTTAAAGCTGGTGCTGAAAGTTGGCGGAAGTGAAGTGACTGAACTTTCTGGGTCAGGACATGATTCTAGTTACTATGACGACAGATCAGATCATGAGCGAGAACGACATAAAGAAAAGAAGAAGAAAAAGAAAAAGAAGTCTGAGAAGGAAAAAGAAAAGCACCTAGATGATGAGGAAAGAAGAAAGAGAAAGGTAAGCTGTGTTTTTTAGAATTCAGACATACCAGTTGTCTTCTTGCTTGCTTATCAGATCTAAAATCTTGTACAGAGTACCAGACTTTCCAGACCTTTTTATTTTTTTAAATCAGTGTTGCAAGCAGTTTATTGTTTGGAGTGCTTCACAGATGTAGAAAACCCCCATGTGTGGTTTGGTGTATTTTTCCCATTTAAAAGAGATATCCCTGTAATGCTTTTTTGGACAAAGTGAAAGCTTGTTTCTTGTAACTGCTCGTTTTTCTTACCCATTTGTTTTGTCTGTCGGTATGGATCCTTCTGTTTTTAAGCTGGATTTTTTGTGTTTCAGCCAGGTCAGAAACATATTTTGCCATCTTTTGAGGAGGGTATTTTCAGCTTTTCAAGTAAATCTCGATTGCATTTTTGTTCCTGAGATATGCCACATTATTGGACATTGATATCTTTACAGCTTTCTGAAACCTGCTCTGTTGAATCTTGTGTAGAAGTACCTGCAATGCTGGGCTTTGTGGCTTTGTTAGTAGTGAATAGCATGGTTGCCTGTGCTGAACCTTTAGGAGTTAGATTTAAATGAGCAAGAAGCTGTTGATAATGCAGTTACCTGTACAATTTAATTTTAATAAGATTTCTGTTGTGTACTACAGATTCTCTGACCTCTCTGCTTTCTAAATTCTCTTCTGACGTATGGTTTTACTACACTCATATGACACTTTTTTGCTACTACTATGTGTGTGTGTGTGTGTGTGTGTGACTAACATCTGTCATTTCAAATTGATTTATTTGTTAGGCTTCTATTACTTGAAATATATGTTGCGGGATCATTCAGAAGCCCTTGAATACAGGACAGATAGTGGAAAATATTCTTTGTACAAACATTTTTCAAGTGTTTTAGTTAAGGGTATGACTGGGACTTGAAGCGTAGTAAGCCGAGTGTCTTTAATATGAGATCTTACAGCATCAAATTGAATTATTTGTTCTACTTTTGCTAAACTGTGTGTGTGGGGGGGGGGGGGAGGTGGTGTTTGGATTTTTTTTTTCCCCAGAACTTCATTATTAGTGCATGCAGAAGAAGCTAGTGGATAGATAAGTAACAAAACTGTAGTCTAAACAAGGTTAACAAAAGCGTACTTTTCTGTTTGAACGTGAATAATAACTGTAAGATGATAGGGATGACTCAGGCATGTGTTTGTTTTGAGGCTGAGGAAAAGATTGCTAATTGCCACTGTTGTTACAGAGCATTTTTTTATGGTTCTTTTGTAGGCTGCCTAAATTATTGCCTGCTTTATTGAGTCGTGTTTAATGCACCAAATAACAAAAACACATTGATCAAAGCAAACTGATCTTTACTGAATAGTAAATTAACTTCCTTTGCTCTCTGGTGTAGCTTATTATCGTGCACTTTTACATCTAAGTAGCTTCAGAGTTTAACATTCTTTTCAGTAAAAGTACAGTAACTAATGATAGAACAATAGTGTATTAAATACAAAGGAGCAAAAGGTGAACAGTATTTGTTTTAGTCAGAGAAGAAAGTTGAAAAAGGGACAGTGAAAATGTGTGTAGTATTGTTTAAACCATATTATGGCTTAGGTATAGACTGAGTATTCAAAATGAAAAATCACTGTCTCTTAACTTTTGATACATGGGATTGCACTTTCCAAGTACATTCTTCTAAAATCTGTCTTCTTCCTGATATGCTAGGAAGAGAAAAAGAGGAAAAGGGAGAAAGAACAGTGTGACACTGAAGGAGAAACTGATGACTTTGATCCTGGGAAAAAAGTGGAGGTTGAACCTCCTCCAGATCGTCCCGTCAGAGCATGCAGAACTCAGCCAGGTGAGCTGTGTGAAAAATTATATCATCTTGGGTGTTTTTAAAAGCAGGCACAACAGAGCTTTTGTCAAAGGTACCAAAATGTAAAATCACCTTTTGCTGAAATCTAGAGACTTTGTCTTTTTCTGATATACAGAACTTTCTGCTATTGGAAAAATCAGCATTCCTCTTGGTGCTTCTGGGTTTTAGTAGATTTGTTTTCATGTCACTGACCTTGCCAAGGACACCTGTCTCTGGCTTCTGATACTTGGCAGAATAAAGCTAGTACAGAGGTATTATTGTGCATAGTGTTCCCCTAATTCCTTCTCCTTTGCATTTCCTCAGCATTTACAGAACAATGGTCAGAATGTCTGAAACTCAAGTTTTGCTCTGTTCAAGGGAAACAATCTGGTGAAGACTGCTTAGCTGTTCTTCCAGTATTTTTTTGTATAACCCATGTGGCATTTTAATTTTAGTATCTCTTATGTTCATCCAAAGTATGGCAGTAAGTTGTGATAAGCTGTCTCTAAAGATCATAATTCCCCCCCAGTTTTCATTTACCAATCTTTAATTCTCATCACCAGCCAAAATACTTGGGAGCTGTGTGGTAACTTCTGCGTGTTTAATCCTTTCAGGTTTTGCTATGCTTTCTCTGCCTGTAGCCATTGCCTGGTAGTTAAAATTCAACATTATCCAGTGGAAACTTCAAAGAGTTTTTAAATACATCATGATCTCAATATGCATATGCCTGGAAATGGATTTGAGTAGCAAACAGTGAATCTTTAGGAATATATCAAGTCTTGTCTTTAGGACGCTGCCTGTTGACTGGTCAAGTAAATTACTGAGGAATTTTCTAATTATGACTACATGTTAAATTGAGGAATGGTGTCTATCAGCTGTCAAGGTGACCTAATAGGGGTAACTGAAATGTTCTGGTCAAAACTTTTTGTCTGTGGGTGGTCTGGAGCCTTAAAAAAAAAATGACAAGCTAAAAACTGATATCTATATTGACAAGGCTTCTATTTTCATCTGCTTGGAAAATGCAGTTTGAAAGCACGTATACCTGTTCTGGTGAAGAAGGGAAACGTCTCTCTGTTATCATAGAATCATAGAATGGTTTGGATTGGAAGGGACCTTAAAGATCATCTAGTTCCAACCGCCCTGCCATCAGCATGATGAAGAGTTGAAGTTTTAATTCTGAATTTTAGCACGCTGCTTCTTTAGTCTTTCAAAGTTCACGTTAAAGCCAGTCTCTCTGAAGTACGTGCATGGAACAGGAAATTAAAGTGTAGTGTTTATTGTTTAATCTGTACAGGAAGTGAAATTGTAATCAGTCCCTCTCTTTCCAGCAAATCTGCATCTGTTTGTCACTCTGCTTTTTGTTTGAAGAGATTCAGAAAAGTTAATTGCGTGGGTGTTATGGTAAAGAAACCGTTAAAATTGCACCAATAACATCGTAAGAATGTGGATTTTTCCAACTGCAGTAGTTAAGCAATGAAATTTCACTTTTGTTTTCCTGTAAAAATATGTAACACCTTACTTTTACCTTATTAATACATTGTATTACAGCTGCTAGACTTAGCATTACATTTGATGTAATTTTTACTAGTTTTTAATGTGAAAAAAACTCAGTGAGTAGTAAAGGAGAAGGAACAGTTACTCTATGCCTAGAAACCTGGTGTGCTTCTGCTTTGAAATCCATTGACTTTCAGGTTGGTACAAGTTTGTAGTTAAGATTTTTTTATTTTTTTTTCTCTAGTATTTATATTTTTAAATAAATAAATATACCTGTATTGTGTTTCATTGCTCTTACCTGTGTTTCTGTCTTCAACTGCAGCTGAAAATGAGAGCACACCGATCCAGCAGTTACTGGAACACTTCCTTCGCCAGCTTCAGAGGTATGGAGTGCGTTGTACCTACAGCTGTGTCAGCAGTGTCTAGTGCATGTTTATATCTGTTGCTTTACAACTCCTTATCCCAGTTTTCTGTTTGGAAATAGTGCCCAAAGACTGGTGATAATATGTTTGTTAACCTTTGCAACCATGTCAGGCCTGGGAGTTTTTAAAGGTTAATTGAGGAAAATTATTATCAACTATGCAATTTTAGCTTATGATGGGGAAGTGTTTTGGGCAGAGGATATGTTGCCATTATAAATTTATTAAATATTAATGACTTAGTTTAGGTATTAAAAAACAGTTATGAACTTTAATAGTTTAAGAGATTGAACTATTACCATGAAATTTTGGTTTATTCAGTGTCCTCAGTCAGATATCAGAGCAAGTCTATACCTGCTTCCTCGATAATCCTCTTAATTTAGAGAGGCTTTTTATTTTATTGTTTCCATAAGATGTTAACCCTGAACATCATGTTATAGTGGTTTTTAAATAGAAAAAGCCAACAGCAAACAAAATATTTCATTTGCCTTTTTTGTTACATAGCAATAAGCTGAATTTGTTACTAATTGGAAAATACTAAACACTGTAATTATTGTTAGAGGACCTGATGATCAAGAAGAATTGAAGAGGTTTTTACTCTGTGAAGCCAAAAGACCCATTTGGAGTGTAAATAGAGACAAGAAAGTATACAAGAAATAGTAAAGTAATTCAAGAACTAGCTGAATCTGTTTCAAAAAGTCTACATATCTGTAATAAAAATTGTCTCCTGTATCAGGAAACTTTACAGATATGCTTCTGTTATGAGAGTATTTTTAGAGTTTTTTCTGTTTAAAGTAGTACTGTTCTTTTTATACCCTTAATGTGGTATAAAAACAGTTATTTTGTTCACTGATTAAAAAAAAAAAACCTGAATATATTGTTTTTATTTTTAGGAAAGATCCTCATGGGTTTTTTGCTTTTCCAGTCACGGATGCCATCGCTCCTGGGTATTCCATGATAATAAAGCACCCCATGGATTTTGGTACCATGAAGGAAAAAATTGCAGCCAATGAATACAAATCAGTCACTGAATTCAAGGTGAATTGACAGAGATTTAGTTATTTCTGAACTTTTTAGTAAGGAACGAAAGATTCTTTTTAACTGCAGAAGCTTTTCTTACGTTAATTATTTTAATGAGTATTTTTTCAGAACTGAGCACGTTAGTATGTTCTGTGTGTTGGAATGGGTTTCTTGCTTTGTTTTTCCCTGTGTGGAAGCTTTGTGTTTGTCTGATTCTACTACAAATTACTGCAGAAACCAAGAACATGCTCTAAAGTTCTATGGAATTTGTGCTGCTAGACATGAACATGAGTAAGACGCTTGCAGAGACTTAAGCAGTTGAGGAACCTCCTGGAGGACCTTTTTTTGTTTGGTTAGTTTTGTTTTGTTTAAATCTAGACCTGGTTAGATTGATTAAAAGGCAATTTTGACATGTCTGCAAGAAAACTGTGGATATACTGAAGCAAAGGTCATTTAAAGATGACCTTTAAAGGTCCCTTCCAAGCCAAACTATTCTGTGATTCTATGATTTTGTGTAAGATTCAATAACAACTACATATTTTTTTATCTTTAATTATCCTGTTTTCCATGTAGCTTCATTGGAATAATCTTTAGGCAGAAACTTACTTGGCAAGTTGATTGGCAACTTGCTGTAGTTATTTTGTGCGCTGCTGTTGCTGTCCTACTTTATTGGATGCATTGTGGTTTTACAGACTGTGCAGTATAAGATCTTTTTGTGGTATTGCCAGATCTTGGAAGGAAAGTTGTTTTCTTTAGCTGATGGGTTAAGTTCTGTTAGCTGCCTTCAGCATTATTGTTTCCTAGAGTGATGCTGATATAACAGGAGACTTGGCAGAGGCCACTGGCTTGCTTCTCGGAGTTAATTTCTTCTTTAGAAAGGTCCAGCAAGATGAGCAAAGAATGGCTTGTGTTTTCTGTAGGTGCTTTGACAAAGATTATTCTGTTTTGTTATGTTTATTTATTTTTTTTAAATGCATAGAGATTTACAGGAAATAGTAAAGAAGGATTCACGATAGCATTGCTGTCAGCAGTGCCTTCAGGTCTCTAAATTCTGTTGGCTTTCTGGATTGTCTTATTCAGCAACTTAAAAAGAAGCTTGAACAGGAGCTCCATGGCTCTATTTAGTTGCAGGTGAGGTTGCAGTAATGAAACTGGTGGGATAGCAAACTAAAAAATGTTAAAATCGCAGTATTGTTTAGACTGACAGATTAATATTTGTTTTTTCGGAACGACTTGGTTTCTGCTGGTTTGACTCTGAGAAGCAATAAATGGTTGACAGAGCAACCACACCTCTGAGGGTGACAGAGCACTGCAACAGGCTGCCCAGGGAGGGTGTGGAGTCTCCTTCTCTGGAGACATTCAAAACCCGCCTGGACGCCTTCCTGTGTGATCTCATTTAGGTTCCTGCTCTGGCAGGGGGATTGGACTGGATGATCTTTTGAGGTCCCTTCCAATCCCCAACATTCTGTGATTCTGTGTTGCTAGAAGTCTGTCCATCTTCAGTGACAAAGAGGTTGGACTCCCTTTCTAGATAGATGAGTGTACCTAATTATGCTTATGCCTTTGTAATTCTGTGTAATACAGAAATTAAGTTTATAGGTTTTTTGCCTTCTAAAACAAGCGTTATCTTTAATTTCTGATATACCTGTTACAACTGGCTGAGGCTAGTCACGAGCCAGGAAATAATCTAAGAGTAGAATCTGCAAGAACTGTTTGCTGCATTTGGAAGAGGGGAAATTGCTGCAGAAAACTCATCAATTTTGCTGCCAGAAAAAGGGTTTATTTCAAAGACGGGCAAGCCATCAACTCTTCTCTGTCCTTTTCTGCAGGACTCCAAAGGCCATCACTAGATGTATAGCTCACCTGGGCTGCTTCATCTGCCTCTTGGCTCATAGTTGGCTCCTCCGTGTCACCTTCTCTGTTTGTGTGATGGTCTCACCAAACGAGGGCAGGTGGCTTAAATGCCATAGCGAGTCCCAGCCTACCAGCTGTAACTGTTCACCTCCTTGCTTCGTATGGGCTTAGTGACAACTCCTCAATGATGAGGAGGGCACTGCTCTGACATCCCTGTATGGAAACAGGAAATAAAACAGTTTTTTTCTTTTTACAGAATCTAATCAGAAGGGCAAGGTTATTTTTTGTAAATGTTGGGTGCCAGAGTAAGTTTTTAGAAAGATTTCTGTGTCCAACCACAAGAGTAACCTTCAAAAATCTTTGTCTCGGTAAATCTATTCACTGGTCTGTAAACTCAATGGGTTAACTTTTCAAAAGCCTAAATAGCATCAAATATAGTGGGCTTGTGCACAAAAAAACATTTGCATTTGTTTCTACAGAATAAATGAAACCTAATTGCTTGAACAATCATTGTTTAAATATTGAAAAGTTATTAAGAGTGAAAAATCTATTCTTAAATCAGGCGCCAGTTTAATTTGTTAGGATCCAATTTGTGACGTGCCTGGAAAGACTACTGCATGATTCCTGGTTATTGATTTGCCAACTTCAGAAATTTTCAGAGGCATGTAATAATGTCTTTTTAATTCAGTGTTTCCTAGAGCTTCTAATAATGCTTTATGTGCTTTATGCTGCAGTTCAGTAGCACATGACTAGAAAAAAAAGGGCACCCTAGAAAAAGCTTTTGCAATCTGCAACAAATCTTTTTTGGTTCTGTTTATAGTGGAGCGTTGCACTTTTGTTTTGGGAACTTGCATCAGTGAAAATTACTTGAAATTCTGTATGACAGGTAACCATTCAAAGGGGAAGACAAAATCAGGCTTGGCTATTCTGTTCTTTTGTTGTATGTGATGAGCATCTAGAAGGCTCTTTATTATACTTTGAAGTTTTCTGTGTTTGTTTGTTTGTTTTTGTTTAGTGCAAGTGACCAAAAAAGCAGTCAAATTACCAGAATTAAAATTACAAGTAAGACACTTTGTATCTTTCTGATGTCATTGTATTTTTCAAGTCTGTTCTGCTTTAGAAGGTGGGAAAACCACCAAAATGTACTTACCTTGGTGCCTCAGTCATTCTATTAATTTCTCTATTTGGTCCATTTGAAAGAGGAAAGTTTACATTTGGCATTCAGGGAAAAGTTTTGGGTTTGTTTTTGGTTTTGGGGTTGGTTTTTTTTAATAACAAAAAAACCCCAATTCCAAACAAAACTGAGCATCTTGAAGAGGCAAAAAGGGTTCAAACCTTTGCAGTTCTGTGTTACCTTTTGGCTTGCATTTACTCCATGAGCCTGCTGCTAAAATATTGTTGTGTTCTTCACAGAGCTGCTGTGATGGAACAGTATCTTCCAGTTATTTAACAAAGGAGTTGGAGATTTTTAACAGTTCTTTTTGTTTTGTATTTTACAGGCAGATTTTAAACTGATGTGTGATAATGCAATGACTTACAACAGACCAGATACTGTTTACTACAAGCTAGCCAAGAAGATACTACACACAGGCTTTAAGATGATGAGCAAAGTAAGAGACCTATTAAAAACAAAAGGCAGAAACTCTTTGGGGGCTTTTTTTTTTTTGTCATATATACAAGGAACGTAATTAATAACAATGATAAATGTTTCCATCCATCTGTGGTGAATTATAGCAGTGCCTGTCAGTGCTGCTCTATTTAAGGGCTTTATAGCATTCTCGTTACAACCACACCCCTATTCCTCAACCTCATCTGCACCACTGAAGTCTGTAGGAGCATCTTCCACTGGCCTCAGTGGAAGCAATTGAGATCCACATCTATAAAATCCAACGGTAAAACATTGCTTCTGGCTGAAGCTTTGCAGACAAGCTCTCCTTTAAGTTTTATTTCTGCAGAAACAAGAAAGCTTTTCTTTTTGGATGGGGTGGGTGTAGGGGAGGTTTCAGGGCTTTCACAGGTGCGTGCGTGCAGGCACAATTTTTACTCAAATGCAAGTTTGGTTTGTTTTTTTTGTTTACTGAAGTTATTGGCTTGTAACATGAAGTTATTTTGATGAGCTGCTCTGTGTGTGTGTGTGTGTGTGCATGTCTTGCAGTTATGGTAAGTTTTGTGTAAAATAGGCAGTTGTCTTTGCATATGCAGTTTTGTTGTTGTTGTTTGTTTCTCTCTTAATAGTTGGGCTGCAGCAATTCTGATGCCATGCTACCATGACCAAATCATGTTGCATCGCCATTGGAAACGAGGCATTAAGAACAAAATAAGGCCATGGCCATTCCCATCCCATCCCATTATCATAGCATCTTGGCTATGAGGGAAAGGTTAAGTCCCTGCCGCTCTGTCCTTTCTGATTCTAGGAACGGCTGTTAGCTTTGAAGCGCAGCATGTCGTTTATGCAGGACATGGATTTTTCTCAGCAGGCAGCTCTTTTGGGTGATGAAGACACAGCAGTTGAGGAACCTGTCCCTGAAGTTGTTCCTGTACAAGCAGAGACTACCAAGAAATCCAAAAAGCAAAATAAAGAAGTTATTAGGTAAAGGTCTTGATGGGCATGCTTACTGGTTTGTTGCAGTTTTTGTAATATTAGACAGTGACAAAGAATTGAGGGGAAAAAAAACTCCTTTCAGCTATTATCCTTGTGGATTAATGGGCAATTTTATTGTATTTTATTTATTTTTTTATTTATAGAACTAGTTTAGTAACACAGAGATTCCCAACTTGAAGCAAAGAATTCAAAGAATTACTGCGTATTCTTTTAAATGCTTACAATTAATGTATAGTTATATAGTTATTTTATTTTTACCCTTCTTTCTATCTGTATTAAGTAATTAGTAGTTTCTTCTCGTGATGACTTGAAATGTGCTTTCATTTTTATCATAGCCACAAATACCTTTCAATACCTTTCACATTTTGTTTTGGTTTTTGTTTTTGTTTTTTTTTCCCCCCTCCCCCTTTCCCTAAAAGGATTGACTGTATCAAAATTGAAACAGGAACTTTCTGGGAGGACAAAGTGGCCTCAGATCAGTAAATGATTTTATTTTTTTCTTATCTGTCAGGACATAGAGGTACAGGAGATCATTTCTGGAGCAGATGATAACATCTTATTTAGCTTCTTTGTAAAAGAAGTGCAATAGTTGTCTTCCAGCTAATAGGCACCCCTGTGTCACAAAGTCAAGTTTTAATAGCTAAAAATCTAATTTTAGATAAATTAAAGGTTTTTGTTTTCTATTTTATGAGGAGATTTTAGCAGAAACTGTGATTTACAAGCGAATTATATTGTTCAGTGTGCTTACATAGACATCCTAGGTTAGATGTTGAGTTGAAATAGTAGAACATTATATCAACTGGAATTTTATTAATATAAAACTGTAACATAACATTAGTAGTCATGTCTTCAATAATCTGATCATGTAGATAATGTTCTGCTGGCTTCTTTCTTAAATATCCAGAGCAAAAGAAGTTACATGTGACTTGTTATTTCAAGTTCATGCTCTCTGTTTTGTAGAAAGTGATTATTAGATTTCTTATCAGCCACGTGGTTTTTGTTACACTTGAGGCATTTTTGTAACCCTCCTGAACATCTGATGGAAGAAGCAGTATTTCAGTGCAGTTGTTTTGTGGAAATAGGAGGCTGCAACGTGTATCTTCAAAAATAATTTTAAACTGTGTCATTTTTTTTGGCTGGAGCTCTTCTCCTGACAGCATAGAGAAACACATCTGTTGCTGTATCATGGAGAATTATCAAAGTGTAATTTGTTCTTTTTTTAAGGGATTATGTATAGGAATTAACTGAAACTACATTTCTATCAACAAGACTTGATTAGGGGGGAGGTGGTTCAGTTTTTGGTTTTGGTTGGTTGTTTTGTTTGTTCTTTTTTTTTTAAAGAGATGATGATTTAGTTTGTGTGGTGCTCAGATTAATAGATTTTTGCTTCTGATTAATCTTTACTAAAACTCCATCACAGGAGTAGCTTTGTCACTTTTTTTGTGCTCCTCTTCAAATACAGATAGCTAACAGAGCAAGAAATTGAGACTGCTGAGCAATACAGTCCTGCTCTCTTTAATATCTACCTTACAATGCAGATAGCTGACCTTTAATTGTGTCCTGATACCAGATTCCTTCCAATGAGTTGTGGTATAAATTTACTTTCCTGTTCTTTTTTCTTTATGTGTTTATGTAAATTTAGCAGTTGGAATTAATTTGTTTTTTCTAATTAACTTGACCTTTTAAACACTTATATTTTTGGCATCAGTAGGATAGATACTCTTTTTTTTGGATGCACAGTAAGAGCTTTGGGAGGAGAGTCAAACGTAATAGCAGATATTTTTACCTTCATATTTCACAGTTAAAAACAGAGAAAGAGCCAAAGTCAGTGTTTGCAAAATGTTAAAGCAGCTTAGACCTCTGTACTGTGGTTTTAAAAGTGACTTGATCACTTGGACATCCTAGTATATAAGTAGTTGTTAAAAATTTTGTCCAGGCTGTTGCAACCTTCTGAACATTCTCTCAAAATTCTTGTCCGTTAAGTATTCTGTGGAGTGTGATGGAAAGTGCCAGTTGTTGAGGAGTTTCCTGCTGTTTACACCCTTTCTTAAGCTTTCAATGAAACAAAAACTCGTATAACACGTTTGTCTCATTATAGTATGATCCTGTGATCTTTTTATTGTCTTTAATAGCAAAACTTTCTTGCGTATTGGATCTGAATCTCTATACAGAGAGAAATTCTTAGCTAAGCAAATGGAAGAAGATACCCCAGGAGAGAGAAATGGAATTGGTGTGAGGAGATGCTCTACCCAGTACCTAAGGTGTTTGGCCCTAGCGTCTAATGTCCGCATAACGCCCTGAGTTTGATGTACAAGGTTTATTTTACATATTTAATATAATGAAGAGTGCCATATCCTGCTGATATCTTCTCACTTCCCCTTACAATACCAGCTTTCTCTATATAATAGCTAAGATATGTCCCATTCCATCCTAGGTCTGCTTATTTGTTATGTTGTTATTGTTTTGGTGCTCTAATGAAAAGGGATCTACTGAAAGATAAATGTTAAATTCTGTAATCTCAATAAGGGAGAATGATGTGATTGATACTGATTAGGAAGACTAATGCCAATATTAACAACATAGGAATTAAAGGACTCCCTGTTAGACAGGGAGCAGTGTCCTACTTTTACAAGCAACTAAATGACATAATCCTCATAAATACAGCCTGTTGGTTTTGTTTTTTTTTTTTTTTCTCAGATTAGAGTTACAGAGTTTCCATTCCCTCATCATGTAATTTATTTTCTGCATCTTTCTATTTGGAATTTGTGAAAATAGCATATTCACACATGTGGGAGACTAAGGACACGTACAGCATTCACCTTGTATTAATGCAGTTTTACTCCCAATCTCTGTTTTGCAATACTTCCTTTGTTCTCATCAAGGTACAGAAACAATTCAATTTTCTGAAGTTCAGTAGTTTTGTAGTTCTCAGCTTCTGCTGCAAAGCTTCAGTTTCGGAATATTGATTATAATTCCACTTAAATGCTGAAGTAGGCTTGACAGTGGGAGAAGAGTGGGACTGATTGTTCTATTTAGTAAACCCACAATGCAGAACTTTGTTTTGTTTTAGCTTTTATTTTCTACAGCTATTCCTCTTCTCTTTCTTAGTTGCATATTTGAACCTGAGGGAAATGCGTGCAGCCTGACAGACAGCACTGCTGAAGAACATGTCCTGGCACTAGTGGAACACGCGGCAGATGAAGCTCGGGACAGGATCAATCGATATCTACCCAACAGCAAGGTCCACTGCACAACAACGTTCACAATTCCATTTTATGTCTGACTATTGAATGCTTTGTTTCATCTTGGGAAACAGGCTCTACTGTTATGTTTTCTGAGACTGTAACTTGTAGGATGTACGCTCTTTGTGGAACACCAATATGACCGTTCACAGAATCACACAGAATGGTGGGGGTTGG